CTTCCCGACCTCAAACCTTGTGGGCGGGACTAAGTTCGGAATGGCACCCAGGCTAAATCACGTCAACCACAAATGCAGAATATTTCAGACCTCTAGCTATAACAGTTCCAGAGCTGTGGGGTTTGGAACTTTTGGTGTCAGCTTGGAGCTGCGCGCAATGGCTCCACCTGCTGGTAAAAAGTTTACCGGTGGAATTTTATGCATTTGGAGTTATTACCCCGACTTAAGGTCCAGCGGGTCGCCAGGTTTTTAAGAGGTTAAACTATAACAGGATGCACGAGCGGAACGTTCCAGTCTGTTGTGTTCAATCCGTTTGGTTACTAATTCACACCGTAGACAGTAAATAAGATCACTGCCCAGTTCAAAACCACAACAGCCAAAAAAACACATCTCCATAGCGAAAGAAGATGCAGCAGTGAGTTTGTTCGGCGTTTAGTTTATAATATTTGCATACCTGTACGCCACCACCAAAAGCTCTTCACCCCTCAATGCAAGCAGGATTTATAAACAGCACAGTCCTGAGTGGAGAAGACCTGCATATTAGCTGTTCTCTGCAAAAAGAATTTCAAATGATGATTTTTATGTACGTAGCAGGGAAAAAGTGTTTTATTTTAAAACTTCAGTGCATTTAAAACACATTATTGTTTACACCAATTAACATGCATGGCCATATAGACCATAGGACATTAATGTGACTGTATTATGTGGGTCTAAATAGAACCAAAGATCATAATGAATGTGTTCCCGTCCAGCAGTCCATATCCCCCCCCCCCCCCCCCCCCAAACGTGCTTCCAGTACCGGCCTGCTGAGGTCCACATCTATATGCAACTAATCTACATTTTAACTGTGACCATCTGCTCATGAATAGCCCTGACATTATCTGTAACACTGAGTCCCACAGGCCTCCTGCAGCCATTCAGACACCATTCCACCACAATATGACCCAACCTGGGCGTCTGCAGAGAGACGCAGAGAGCTTCCCTTCATTTGTCTCTCTTTGAATAAAATAACTTTTACAGCCGGGCAGATTTTATCTCTGAGTCTGATTTAGCTAAAAGGAATAACAGCATTCTCTGGGAACCAGTAGTAAACCTGCAGATTGAAATGCTCTGTTAGGAACATCTAGAACATCATGCCACGTCATGCTTGCATCAAGCTCCTTTTCTGAAAAGCATACATGTTTCCCCTCTATTCATATTTTGGTTGGATCATTTAAAGAAAGCTTTTGTTCCATTCTTTGCAAAGATTTAGATCTAAATTCCATAACCACCATTTCATTAAGATAAGATCAAAGCCTTACCTTGTTTAGAGTGTTTACAGTGCTGTGAAAAGTAGCTACCTCCTAACAGGTTTCCTTTGGTTTTGCCGTCTAATGTAAATGTTTTTTTGTTTTGTTTTTTAGTTCTCTGAGCGAGGCCTGCAGAGCTTTAAATGTTTAGATGAATTTTGACTCCCTGAATGAGTCTCTGGTTTGCTCTCAGCTGAATTTTGGGTGCCAAGCAGAAATGATTGCTTTTATCTCTCCAATTTTGCACTGAAAAAAAAAAAAACTCATAAGATTTAAAAAAAATATATATTGTAAGTATTTGCAGCAAATGATTTAAGTCCAATTGAATGCTGCAATATCAAGTAGCACTCACTTGTCAGTATCAAGTTTAATTTTGCTTTCCATAAGACATAACAGTTGTGAAGATATTATGTAACATTAGGTAATTCCATCCAAGTTGTAACGTAGATTTATTTAAACAAATTAGGTAAAGTGTCCTTGTTTTTCATGGGAACAAACAGCCTTTTACTCCATATTTTAAGGTAAAACAGACAAACAACCATTCACACACACACTCACATCAAAGGAGCATTTAGAGAAGCCAGTTAACCTAACAGTCATGTTTCTGGACTGTGGAGGAAGCTGGTTTTACCGCTAAATAAACATTTAAACAGTATCAGGAAATCTAAGTGAAACTTACTCTTTCCCAAAAATATCTCCATAGGAGATAATATAGTTTACTGCTCCAAAAAGTGACTTTTTTCAGTGTGGGCCATGGCTCCCACAGTAAACAGCCAAGCTGCAGAAGTAGATGTGGTTAAATCAAACTTTGTTCATGATTTAACGAGTGCGGGTGGATTTCTTCCACACCGGTCCAGCTCAGTGTCTTTTTTTGAATGAAAACTGCTTTGTTTTTGCAGGCTTCCCTCATCTAATGGTAATATTCTGATGATCGGAGACAGTTTGATTTAAAAAAGAAAAAAACCAAAGGAAATCCTTGCATGTTCCCCACCGTAGTACGACGTAGATCTATGACGAGTATTAGGGCCAGGCTACAGATTTTTTTTTCCTTCTATTTCTAGAATAAAGTCATAACATTATGAGAATAAAGTAAAAAAAAAATTACAAGAATAAAGTCATAAAATTACGAGAAACAAGTTGTATTTTATGACAGCTCTTAATAGAAGCCCTGTCTTCCCTAAAATGAGGAATGATGGTTTGATGGCTTCATTCTCGTAATGTTGCGACTTTATTCTCAAAATAAAAAAAATTTAAAAAGTTAGCCTGGCGCTAATACTCTGTCGTATAATACAGAATAAGTGTGTTAAAACTGTGTTCAGGTCACCTTCTGTCTTCAGGAGTCAGCGTGCTGCATGTTTTAGGTTCCAATAAAGCCTCCGCAGTGTTTGGCTCCAACAGAGGCGCATCCAAAACATGCAGGACTCCAGAGGACCGGAGATGGCCGCTCCAGCTGTTCTGGCTGGCTTGAAAAAGATGGATTTTCTCATCATGTCGTTTTCCATAGGACAAGCAGCAGACCCCCAGTAAGAGGGCATGGGAGGGCATCCGCAAACCCCACTCGCCCCCATCCTGGGTGAGGAAGGAGCTGGAAACTGTAGCCGCCTCTCCTCTGGAGCTGCAGACAGTGGAGTGGGAGAAGACCAGTGCCACTATTCCCCTGGTGGGCCAGGAGATCATGGACCTGCAGACCGAGGTCTGACTCTCAATGGGACCTCACACCCTGCTGCTCCCCACCACACACACACACACACACACACACACACACACACACACACACACACACACACACACACAGGGAGGTGAAGGAGAAGGGCTGAGGACGAGAACATGGAAAACCACATTCGGAGCAAAGAGGAACACGATGTCGCTTTTTGTGTTGCTTCCTTTGATGTTTTGGTGTCAGCTAAATAACTGAAGATCATTGAAATGACTGGCTGGCAAATCACTTCTACCTGTGATAAACAGCATACCATGTTTCCCACTGTATTCAATGGTTACGACGTTCTAATCCCGTTTTTCCCACTATTGAGACTGTTGCTACATTACCGTTCCGCTGTGTCCGGATGTTTTCTCATGGACGCTGGCGTTACGCTCCACTCTAATGCCTCTCACATCAAACTGACCTGGGCTTGAAGGAGACGACTACCCAGGCTAGACCTGCCGCTCAGCTGCAATGGCGCCACAATGATTGGAGCAAACCGGGGTCAACGCCACGGAGACCAGCAGGGTCAGAAGACAAGAAAAACACTATATGGTGGTAATATTCAGAGAGGCAGGTGTTCAGCTGGGCTTCATTCTCTAATTAAAGGACCGTCATGGCGGTGCGTCCAGCGGGGGCTCCGGTTCAGCAAATACCTGCTGCTTCATGTTGCTAATATAAGGGACCCCTTGGTTTGAGAAAAGCTCCAATCATATCAGTCCAGAGATTCAGACTAACAGGGTCCGGTTTCTGTCGGCGTACCCCGAGAATCTGCACGTACAGGTATGTGGTCCCTGGGTCAGACATGATGGCAGTGTGGGGCGGTCTGTGAGGGTGGGGGGTGCACAGATGGAAAGCACAAGGCTCCCTTTGGAGTCCTGATGTATAGCATTGTAATTAATTCAGAGTTCTACAGAATGGATTTTAGCCTATAAATATCTTTCTTACCGTGCTTGAGGATAGTTGTTCTCATTATTATGAATATAAACATGATTATTCTGATACCGACCCCCCCCCCCCATCGGGTACTGGACTGCCAGTGTTCTGTATCGCAAAGTAACTGTGTGTGTTTTGATATCACCACTAAGTCCCTCCCACAGATCTGTGTCTGTCTAAGCCCCGCTGTCCCCCCCCCGCCCCCGTATGTATACCCGACCCCCTCCCAAACCCACCCCCTATTTTTTTTGACCAGGACCGCTTCTTTGTTAATGTACAGTTTTCAGAGCACAATATGAATGTGTCTAATTTCTAATAAAAGCATATCTATATAATGAATAAATGTGTGCGTTTTCTCTGCTGTCTAACATGCCTCGCTAAACAGCTCAGAGCTTAGAGCTACGACACTTTTACTGTTTTATAGACTAAAGTTTTTCCCTCTGGGTTGAGATATTCTCTCCTTTTCGTTCGGTTCACATTAATGGACCAAACCACTGAGGCGATATCAGTGACCAACTAAAAGCATGTAACTCTAGAATCATATGAATGCAGCAATTTTTACTGAAAAAAAAAATTCTAGATTTCAAGAATAGTTTATTAAATTAAAGAATTGTGCAACTGAAAATATTTTAATCTAAAAATTTCACACGGAAAGAATAGACAATTAGAAGAATTTTATTGATACAATTTAGTCTTTGGCGCTCAGACCTCGGCAGGAAACATTGGTGCTGAATTTTGCTTGGATCTGCATGAACAGCAGTAAAGAACAGGGCTGTTCCCCCCCAGGCCTGAAACTGGTGGTGGAGTGGAGATTAAGTTGGTCAGTCTGTAGACTGCTGGTTAGTGAGACGGTCTGCTGAGCTTTATGGGGAGATCCAGTGGACTGCATGAGCTGATACTAGAGCTGCACTCAGGGACCTGGAAGATGGAAGTCCAGTTGGATAACACAGGTTGAGAGAACCTGTCCACGATGAGCAAGCATGAAGTGACAGTGGAGAGGAAAAACTCCCCTTTGGGAAACACCTCTGGAAGAACCAGGCTTAACATAGCGTCCTTCTGCCGGACCGGTTCAGATGAGACAGGGAATGCAGTACGAGTCCGAGAGGAATGACACTCTGAGAAACTGGAAGTCCGACATGGCGCGACCACTGCCTGCGCTTTGGGTAGCAGACTGAGATGTTGATTTGGAAACCTTTTAAGATCAACTATGGATGCTGATTGGCCCGTGACGGAGGTGGATTAGGGTAAGTTATGGTTTCTTTAGTTGAACTTTTGCCAAGGCTCCATTTAAAAGATAAACAAAAAAAGAATAATTCTGTTTGTGCAAACGAAGACCACAGGGTTAGAATAAAAACAGCAATATCAGCAGGGATGGAAAAATGTTGATGGAAGCAGAAACAGCTGCTGGAAGGAAGGATCTGCAATAATAATCCCTTGAGCACCTTGGATCAAACAGTCTGTCACCGGAGGTCTGCAACCTTTCAGCAGCTTCATGCGTGCATATCTCCCCCCACCTGAAGGGGGCCAAGGAGGCATCTTCAAACAGAGCTGACCTTCCTGATGAGCCTACAGTATCACAGCTTTAGATAAGCTGCTTTATTAAGATGAAGAGGTGGGTAGTAGTTAGTTACATTCAGTCCGTTACATTAACTTTATTAACAATTTGAAAAAAAAATACTTTTAGAAGTAGTTTTTCTGAGCCGTACCTCTGACTTTTACCTGAATAATATTCTTGTAAAGTATCTCTACTCCTACTTGAGTAAAATCTCTGACTCCTCTCTCCTCTGTGAGTTTGAACTTTTCAAAAACTAGTTGAAATGAAACAGTCGATAGAGATAAAGACAGAGAGAGATAGATAAAACAGCAATCAAAGTTCATCCCAGCGCCACAAAATGTGCATTTAGAAACCTGATTGGAGTTTGCAACCACAATATGACAACTAGAATACCATTTTTGGGTCCTCTAACCAGCTCTAGACAGATGGCTGATTTAAGCACTCAGTAAAGGAAGGTCTTTGGAGTGCAGCCCTTAGAGGTACAGCCTACTTTGAACCTCCCTGTTAAAGGAAAAGTGGATAAACTGGATCATTATCTATACCTTAAACTAATACATTACATGAATTAAACATTAATCAGTAAAAAAATAAAAATAATTTCCGTTGCGATCACTGAGTCTGGGAGCGGCCATTTTTGCCCAAATATAGTAGCCCCTCCCTCCTGCCATCTTCCAGCAGTGACGTCACGGTGCGGTAAGCCTAGCGCCATTCTCCCCGCTTTCCAAGCTAAATCAATGGGAACTACTAGACACATCTGCAATCAACAACAATTATTGAAGATTTCCAGAGGACTTCACCATTGAAATTCACCAGAGCTATAGTGAAACTGACAATGCCCACGTGCATGGCAGCTGGATGCTGGAATACATCGGGTAAAAGTGAAAAAAAGAGTTATTCCACCTTTCTGATTCCTGATCCTCCACGGACGGGTTGGTCGTTGGATCGCCAACTTGAAGAGGGAGGATTTGCCATCGAACTTCTGGCCAGAGAAAAAACCCGTAATATGTAGCCAACATTTGGAAGAAGAATGTTTTCAAGATGACTTGGATAATAGCGCGTTGTGACAAACACCAGATACAGCACTGGGACTTGATCAACAGCCGATACCGCACCGTGACAATGTCACTAACCAGTAGGTGGCAGTAGTGTTCTTTGACAAACATGGATGCCTCCAGTAAAGCACATTCACATGAAAATTACTCTGAATTAAAAACACTGATCATTTATTGAACAGGATGGAATCATTTCAGATTTAAAGAACTTTCCAAAGTTTGAATCTGAATGTGAGCGACTTTTTCTTTAAAAAGCATCAGCTTTTTGACTCCCATTTTGTTCAGGTGAAATCGAGGTCTTTATAACTATCTCCACTTTAGCTTCCTGGATCTTCATTGTTGTTGATGTGGAAGGTCTGCACCTGCTCCACCACCGGCACTTTGGTTTTCCTTTGGTCTCACTGGCATCAGTCCACAGAGTCCTACCTTTACTGTCTCTGTTTTGAGTTAACCACAAAACTTCAATTGGAGGCAAAGCGTCAAAGTTTTCCTCACCTGTAATTAGACTAACTGTAGTAAAGTTTATTTGCCAACATATAAAGATGGCAGACTGGGGATTGATAGAGGAATATGGAGTGTAGAGCCGTAATTCCCAACCGGGGGTACCCCTAGTGGTCCGCAAGTGCATTACAAGTGGTACATGAAAATAATTAATTTCTTAGGTAATAAAATAAAATAGGGCTGGGATCTGTTTTGATTTGTGATGACTCAACTGAACAATTAAATCCCTTAGTTTTTTTTTCAGTTCACCTTCAGCTGTGACCCACATCCAAACCCAGCAGAGGAACAGACAGGAGTTAGAAAACAGCCTGGGATCAGCTGGTTTTCACTCTGAGCTATCAGAGCTTTTAAAAGCAGCTCACGTTTCTGGATGGGAACAAAGTAAAACTAATTAAGTCAGCCTGACTATAATTATTTATCTGCATTTTGTTCCCAACTCATCAAGTTTAAATGTGATTATAGGGGAGTTACTCAGAGGAGCTCCAGTTTTATAAATACAGATNTTTTGACTGAGGGGTGGTACTCATGGTAAGACAAAATATCCAGAGGGGAACAGATGTCAAAAAGGTTGGGAAACCTGGCGTAGAAGGTAAGCAGGAAGTGATTAAGTAATCAAAGCTAAACAATAGATTCAGATCTTTACCTTCCATAAATCTCTTGCAGCCTTGGTTCTTCAAAATTAGCTGTTTTTGAGTCCATTCAGATCTTCTCAACGATGTTTTGCAGTAGAAGGCCTCCATGTTCTTCCCACTGACCTTTTTCAATCCATCTTGTGCCTCTGGTGAGGGAGACAGTGCTTTGCTAACACTGTGTTTAGTGGGAGGGAGTGGGGAGCTCCTGACCCTGAAAGAAGACATCTTTGGATGCTGGAAGGAATACTCTGAGGATCTCAGCAATCGGGCTGACATACCTTCCATGATGGAAGAAGAGACGGGGTGTTTGGGGCTGTGTTCTTTCATCACCCAGGATGGTCACATAGGTGGTCTAAAAACCTCAGGGTTGGATGACATTCGCACTGAATACCTAAGCTCTCTGAATGTTGTTGAGCTGTAATGGCTGTCACGCCTCTTTAACATCACGTGGAGGTCAGGGACCTTACCACTGGACTGGCAGACTCTGGTAATTGAAA